AGCGTGCGGCGATGAATAATTCGTTCCTAATTGAATGTATACAAGAGATGGAGCCGATGGCAGGGACTAAACGTATTCTGTTTGCTAGTTCATGTATCGTACTTGCTGTTTGTTCTCTAGTCCTGCACATGATTTTCGCCATGGTTAGCTTAAAAACATTTAGCCTGGATATTTGACCTTACATAATTACACGAAAACACTTTGTCTAAATACCTCAAAGTTTACCACTGATAGAAACCTGTTCCTCTTTTACTTATTGTCTCTTCAAGTTTTTTGTTATAATCGATATTTGTATGAGGGTCTAGCTTATTCATAAGCGTCACAGCTCTATTATTACATAAACAGAATTACAAGGCCTATAGTTTCAGCTGTATAAAAACTAGAATTTTTTTTGCTACTGCTCAGATTTTTTGTTCCTAAGTTGTCAATGCAAGCATCTCGATCACGCGAAGTGCTGAAAGAATGGTTCACTTGTGTCCAAGTGCCGCCGAGGCACAAACAATTTTCAACCTCCATCAACTGCAAAGTTTCTCTAATTTGAAGGGAACAAAACTTTTAGAAAAAAACATATGTTAATGTTTTCCTTGTCTTAACGGCATTTTTGACAACTAGGACTCTTTGGGAATACGCAAACGGCACATAGTCCTTGACTGACCATATAGTCTGTTGAGCCGCTGTGTTCGACATTTGACTCTTCATTTAAACTGAACATGTAATTTTTCAATGCTAACTTTCAGAAACGGAGTTGTGGGTAGTTGTTGCAATAGGAACCTACAAAGTTTGCGATATGCCGTAATAATGGTATAAAGTTACTAGTATATTAGAACACAATATGCAAACTTAAAGAAATAATATTTAATAATCAATAAGTACGATGGAAAAATGGGTTTTGGAAATTTCTTGGAGACACTCTGGACAACCTAGTATTATGACTGTATTTCAATGTAATCACGCTATTTACTAATCCTAAAATCTGTTCCAGGCTTGTTATAAAATAAAAGGATGGGATTCGAGCTTTGCTTTCTATCTTTTGCTGCTCATGGCACTCTTTGGTACATTCCACTACATTGGCTCCATTGTATGTCATATTCACACAATATTTCTTTTTAGGAGCGGAATACTTGATCGCGTAAGCGAGAATCTGTTGTAAATGATTGATTAATGCTATCGGTGAAAAATTGTTTTAGATTAACGGCTCGAATTACCAAGGCAGTATATTCTCGTTTATTGTGACAAACATTATTTTAACTGCACATCGTCTCCTTTACACAGTTTTCCCCTTGAAAGCACGACAAATACTGTCTAAGAAGATATTAAAGGTAGCTAAGTGGGCACATGCAAAAAAGTAGAAACAAGACTACCATAATATTTTTCAGTTCTGTATTGCGCTCATAGTAGCATTCTATATTACATACGTAAGCTTAACTCTGACTCCACTAGCTGCGGTTGTGTACTGCCCTTCGCAGTTTCTCTTCTATTTTGAGAGAAGGCCTTTGTCATATTTTATTGCAAAGTGAGAATTAATTATTCGCACAAAAAGCAAAAACTCTTCGCTCTGCATAATTTCTACGATTGCTTTTGTAAATGTGAATATCCTGCAGGATGAATAAAATGGCCGACTTCGCCGTGGGTGTTGTGAATATCGCTATCTATACTATCATGTTTGGCACATTGTTCTTAAAAGGAGCCATTACATTCAAGAAAAACCATGAGATTCGGATGACATTGCAATTACGTATTTACGTACGCTACCCAAGAGCTCTTTAACATGTGCATTTGTTTTCAGGCTGCAGTAGTCTCAGTATTTGAATTGATGTTTTTTCTTTATTGGCAGTACGGTACATCACTAGGAATTCCTCGTTTTTGGATTACCATCTGCGATGGATATTCGATGCTTATCTATGCGGACGTACACATCCTACCTTATATAATAATGAACAAGTAATCAAACTCTACTTGCTAATGTACAACCGTGTAATCTTTAGTCCTCTTCATATATACGCTATTCCAGAGTTGTGAAAAAGGAACTACGCAAAATGTTTTGCAAAGAAAGGAAGTCGTCTACAGCAGCTTTTACAAAGGTGACAAAGAGCAATCAGTGATAGAACTTTGCAACGTTATCTATTGA